TGGGGTGAAAGGCCATGAGCCATCGGCAAGGTGCTTGGTGCCACTCGGGGCTCCCGCTGGCCGAGACCCCTTTCGTCTTAGCGCTCCCCTCCCATGGAGGCTGCTACCTCTCGTGGCTTAGGAATCCGGAGGGGGGTCTTCTCCAGGGTGGCCGAGTGAGGCTCTGGCCTGGATGCCTTACCCGCTTCGGTCTCCGAGTCTGTGAGGTGAATTGCCCATCGCCCTTGATTGGGTTAGCAGCCCCAGAGCCGAGCCCCGGCAGCTCTCCCTGTCCAGCCTGCCAGACCACGCTCTGCCCTCCGGGGCCCCGGGCCGCGGACTTGGTTGCTTGGACACGTCTTGCAGCCTGCAAATTAGACAGATGGAATCAATACTCATGAACCTGAAGAGGCCCAGGTAGCACGGTTAGTGACAGTCGCTGCCTGGAGGGACAGCCTGCCAGGGGAGGGGGCGTGATTGAACGGTGATTGGACCCAGCAGCTGAGGAATAACCAAATTATGTCCCTTTGAGTTTAGATCGACAAACCCTTCTCACTTGGATTTTTGAAACAGGCCAACTTGTGCGGAATACAGAAGAGCCGTCTCCTGTGCCCACCTCGAATCATGAGGGTGGGGGGGGGTGACGGTCGGGTTGAGCCTGGTTCCCGTTTCCAGCCCAGGCCCAGGCTGTCACACGGAGATTTTAGAGATGCTGTGGGCAAAGGGCAAAGATGCTTGTGTCTGTGGAATTCTTTCTAGGGACCAGGGACCACAGTGTTTTACAAGCATATGACCTAAAAGGGACACTTCATCATTGCCATTGTCCTGGTGCAGAGCTGCGGTCACTTGTCTGTGGTTCCAGGCAGTAAGTGACAGAACTTTGGTCTGAACGCAGCTTTCACTGTGCTTGTATGTCCTGCTGTCCCTGTGGCTTGGGCATTTAGCTCTGTCATTCCTCTCGGAGAGCCTGGCAAGCTACCAAGAGTATCCCGCCCACATGGCAGAGCCTGACAAACTCCCCGTGGCGTATTCGATATGCCCAAAACAGTAACAATAGTGGCTCTCATTCCCCTGGCCCTGAAAGAGCCTCCAATACGGCACTGTTGGGAAGGGCAAGTAAGGAGAGGCTGCTAAAATCTCAGGACTGGGACGGATGGAGACGTTACTGGCGCCCGCTTGAGCAGATCGATGAATAATGGGATGACAGTGATACATTCCTTGACACTACCCCAGTAGTCCCCTTAACCCCGTCCCCTTGCTTCTCATCTATCTATCTCTCGTCCCCTTCCCCTTCACTCTATTTCTTTCCTTCTTCCTCCCTAAACTCTGGGGCCAGGGTGATCTAGACATCCCTCCTTTCGACTATAAAACTCAAATTCTAATGACCAGATTTAAAAGGTGCCTGTCAAGAGGGCAGGCTGAAGCTGGGGGTTCGGGGAAAGGGGCAATAAGGAGGGAACCTGGGAACACTAGTGAAGGGAAGTTTTTTTTATTTGTAGTTTTACTTTTTTTTTCTTTTCCCTTTTTGGGTCATACCCGTTACTCCTGGCTCTGCACTCAGGAATTATTCCTGGTGGTGTTAAAAAAAAAAAAATTCTTTAAAATATTTTGGAAGTAACTTGATAAATAGTTTGAAAACCCATAATGTATTTATTTATTTTGCTTTTTGGGTGACCCCCGGTGATGCACAAGGGTTACTCCTGGTTCATGCACTCAGGTATTACTCCTGGCGGTGCTCAGGGGACCATATGGGATGCTGGGAATCGAACCTGGTTGGCCGCATGCTTAACAAATGCCCTACCCGCTGTGCTATCACTTCAGCCTCGAAAACCCATAATCTTGATCTTAGGTACCATTTTCTTTTATGCAAAAGGTAAATATCTTCCTCACCTGAATATTGGGCTGGAGCGATAGCACAGCGGTAGGGCCTTTGCCTTACAAGCGGCCAACATGGCCGACCCGAGTTCGATTCCTTCGCCCCTCTCGGAGAGCCCGGCAAGCTACCGAGAGTATCTCGCCCGCACGGCAAAGCCTGGCAAGCCACCCGTGATGTATTCGATATGCCAAACACAGTAACAACAAAGTCTCCAATGGAGACGTTACTGGGCCCGCTCGAGCAAATCGATGATCAACGGGGAGGACAGTGACAGTGACAGGTGTTGGCGGTATCATATGGGGTGCTAGGGATCAAACCTCGGTCAGCCGCATGCATGCAAGGCAAACCCGCTATGCTACTGCTCTGGCCCCAGTGGAGGGAAGTTGACACAAGCGGAGGGATTGGTGATGAAACATTGTATGTCAAAAACCCAAGGATGAATAACTTTATAATTCATGGTGCTTTAACAAAGTAAACTTTTGGTGGGAAGAGAAAGAAAAAGAAAATGTCCTGCTGTCTAGCAAGGACAAATTAGATACAAATGTCTAGTAAACATTTGGAGAACACTTATTCTATGTCAGGCACTGTTCCAATCATTCTCCTTGCGTTCATACAGCCATGGGAACTAGACTCTGCCAATTGCAGATCATTATTAAGAGATTGCAAAATGATGATTTTCTAATCTCATCATTCTTTCTACAGTCATTATTTGTCATTCCACAGCATGGAAAAGCTTTTCCTTCGTCCCCCTTGACTTATTAATTTATTTTTAATATGAACTCGTGGAATCTTATTTTACTCAATGGGCTGTAATCCATTACTGTCGTGATTTATTGTGCTTTAGGCTGTCCCAGCTCTAAAGCCAATGTCCTGAACCCCTTCATCCTACCTCTGTTGGCTGCTGCCTCTCCTGCCTTCAGCTAGTTTGCTAATCTGCCTTCTTGTCTCCGCTTAGCTTTTAATCTTCTGGGAAACAGGAAGACCAGTGCCAATTTTCCCCCAGTTGTGTGTAAATGGAGCAAATGGCCTCCAAGTGAGAACCTGGCGGGCTCTGCCATGAACTAAATTTTAGAGCTTTAGAGGTGGATTTTATCTGCTTAAGAGATCATTCTCACTCCTCTGACCTGGGCAGGGTAGTTAGAGCAGATGTGGAAGAACTGGGTGCATGGGAGGGGAATCCTCTTCAGTTTTCCGGGGAGGGGAGTGGTGGTGGTGGTGCGGGGTGGGGGTGGGGGGGCGGAGAGAGAGAGAGAGAGAGAGAGAGAGGAAATTTATTGAAGTTGTTTGGTTTGGTTTGCTGGGTTTGGGGCCACACCCAGCAGTACTCATGGCTGACTCCTGGCTCTGTGCTCAGAGATCACTCCTGGCAGTGCCTGGGGAACCATATGGCATGTTGGGGATTGAACCTGGGTCTGCCACGTGTGAGGCAAGTTCCCTCTCCTCTGCACTCTCTCTCCAACCAGGTTCTGGACATTCTGAAGTAATACAATGCAAACTAGGTGCTACAGTAAAGGCCATTAATTTTGCTAATTGTATGTATTAGAAAACCGATTCTAAAAAGAAAGGGAAACCAAATCTCTTGTTTGACTTTTTAATAGAGTAATTTTTTGAAATGCCTGCCTTTTATGCCACAAAAATCATTAGTAGTTTAAAGTATCAGAAGCAAAAGAAAAGCTTCTGCTTCTTCTTCTCCTCTTCCTCCTCCTCCTTCCTCCCCTCCTCCTCCACCACCTCCTCCTCTTCCTCTTCCTCTTCCTGGCTCAGCAGTGCTCAGGGCTTATTTCTGCTCAGTTCTCAGGGTTTACTCCTGGCGGTGCTCAGGGATCCATATGTGTTACCAGAAGATTGAACCTGGGTTGGAAGTGTGCAAGGCAAACCATGAGCAAGAATACTACATGACGGAAGAAATAAGAGAGGCGGGTGGAGAGATAATAAGGGCATTGCCTTGCATGCTGCCAGTTCAGGTTCAATCCCTGGCACCCCATGTGGGCCTGCCAGGAGTGATCTCTGAGTACCACCGGGTATTGTTCCCCACCCACCCCTCCCCCCAAAAAAAGGAGGGAAGGGAGGAGGAAGAGGGAAAAAGAGATGGAAGAGAAGTTGACATCGGATCACTTCCTGAATCAAGCTTAACACATTCACCTAATTTACCCTCATGGCAGTCCTCGGGCCCTACCTTTGTCCTGCCCATCAGTCCATTCGCACACAGCCACTGGATTGATTCTTCTTTACGCTGAGGAAACATTCCAAACTGTCAGGCGGTTCCTCTTGCATTGAAATGAAGGTGATGGCTATGGAAGATCATTGTCATGGGCCTTCTCTCTGCACAGGCTGCATTTCTGTGAGAATGGCCCCTAGCGAAGCGTGGTGGAAGGACACAACTGTCCTGTCCCTTCCCCTTCAGCCCCCAGCTGGCAGGGTCACCTCCCTCCATACTACTCCCTTCCCCTAAGCCCCCATTTCTTCAGGGGAAGAGCTGGTGCTCTTTGGCCTCCGGGATCGTAAATGCCTGGGATCCTCTCATCACGCCAGATGTTCCCCCTCTCCTTCAGGTATGGGGGTGAGGGTGTGGGGGCTTGGGACCACACCCGGCGGTGCTCAGGGAACTGCTCCTGGCTCTGTACCCAGGGATCACACCTGGCGGTGATTGGGGAGCCATGAGGTGTCAAGACAGAACCCAGGCCTCCCGCATGCAGAGCCCGGGCTTCTGTTGGCCTTTCTCGCCTGCCCAGCCTTCGTGTCTTCAGAGCTTTCAGTACGACTCTGGTTTCCCACTGCACAGGGAGCTTCTCCCATCAGAGCTGTTTGCCTGACTTTGCTGCGATTCCACTAAACCATTGCCCTTCCCTCACTGTGAGGCCGGGAGGGCATATACACTTCGCCCCGGGACAGTGGAATCAACACTTAATCTTAGACTTGTGGGAACTGAGCCCCATGGGGGTGTTGGACAGTGCACCCGGAGCCCCGCTGCTAGGAGGCTCAGAGCCTCCTCTTGGCTTTCCTGCGCCCAGAGTTCGTGGTCTTCCCGTTCCGCCGCTCATGAGAGCAGAGGCGGGTCGCATCCCCCCCACTGTGAGACTCTGGCTCTCTGCTCCCCAGGCCGTCCCTGCTCCTGACCCTTCTCGGTCTTTCTGATTTCTCCTAGCGTGGTGCAGGTCCTGCTGGCCGCTGGTGCTGACCCTAACCTTGGAGACGATTTCAGCAGCGTGTACAAAACCGCCAAGGAGCAGGGGATCCATTCTTTGGAAGGTGAGCAGGGCTCCGTCTACCTTCTGGGAGGCTCCCCTCTCCTTCTACCTCAGCTTCCAGAAGCCTTGCTCTGGACTGGGAGCCTGCAGGTACCCTTTCCTCAGGGACCTCCCTCGGGAACCTCCAGGGCTGACCACTGATGCCTTTCGCGGTCCTTCTCGTCACTTCAAAGGGAGGTGTAAGGAGTTCCTATTTGAGGACCTGGGGGAGGGGACTGAGTGGGGAGCAGCACAGGATGGGGTCCCCTTGTGTCCTCCTGAAAGGGCCTCAGATGGGTGGACAAGTAGCTGCATGGACTGAGGGACGTGCCTCAACTTCCTGAACAACGCTGCCCCGTCTCCAAAGCCACCTCGCTGGTTCTCCCAGCCCTGAACCCTCTTGCTCTTCCACACTCTGCTGGCTTTGCCCTCCCTGTATGTGAAATGAAATCCACCCCCTGCTTCTGGCCCTCACATACTGCATGACTGAGTGATACTAGATCTTGGTCTATTATGACAATAGATCTGCCTTCTGTGTCCTGACATTTGTTTTGTTTCATTTGAGGGACCATACCCGGCGATGCTCAGGGGTTACTCCTGGCTCTGCACTCAGGAATCACTCCTGGCAGTGCTTGGGGGACCATATGGGATGCCGGGGATCACACCTAGGTCTGCTGCATGCAAGGCAAGCGTCCTATCTGCTGTGCCATCACTCCAGTCCCCTATCCCTGACATTTGTGCTTGCATAGCAAGCAGCTCACGAAAGCCTTCTGGCGTGTGTGTGTGTGTGTGTGTGTGTGTGTGTGTGTGTGTGTTTACTTCTGCAGAAAAAATAAAGTCATGCATGCACCGGACTGGTCTGGTGGCGTGTCTTTTGGAGGGTCCCTGAGGCAAATCAAGCCACTTTGCCTCTGGAAGGGGTTCTCCAAGAGTGGGCTGGAGAAGAGGCCGGGTGATGTGGGTACAGGCAAAAGCAAGGATTTAGACACCTGAGCTCATGCTCGGCCTCCCCCAGGCCCCTCTGCCTGTCCACGGCTGCTGTGACTCATGGAAGCTGAATTTTCCTGTGTGTCTCGGCAGTGCTGTGGGGCAGCCCCCCTGGGCTGGCCTGAGGGTTGGAGGGAGGTTCTGAGAGACAGGGACACCCAACACTCCAGGTTGGGGTCTGGCAGCAGGGAGGCTGCCAGATGGGTGGATGTGGGCTCAGCGGAGGTGTCGTTGCTGCAGCCCAGCTTGATGGTTCCTCCGATCTGCACGAGGGAGTAGTCCTAAGGGGCAGAGCCTTGTGCCCGGGACTTCGGTCACCCCTGGAGTCTGTTTAAACTCCCCTCCCAACAGTTCCACGCACAGGCCCTGCCCCCGTCCCAGCGTCCCGTCCCGTGCAACTGTCAGGGTTGTGTCAGCCTTTTGTTTCACACAGACCTATATCGCATATTTCCTGGTTTTCTGAGCATCCGCCTGCCTGATCCTTGGAGCCAGCTGCTCTGCTGTCCCCTCCTCTCTTAGGGAGAGCATTTTCCCCGTCAGCTCTGCCTCCTCAGCTGCTCTCAACAGCAAGCAGGAAGGAGCCTAGGCTGAGCGGGCTCTGGGGGACAAGGGGACAGGGGTCCATGCGCCATGTCTGCTGCTCTCCGCAGAGGAAGGCTCAGGGAGTGTCTGATGTCACTCTTCAGGCACCTCGGGGCCATCTTGTCCGGACACTGCTGTTGCGCCAGTCCTGTCCCCTTCCTTCAAAGCGTGTCACCTGGGGTTGGAGCAGTAGCACAGCGGGTAGTACAGTGGGGAGGGCGCTTCCTGTCCTGGGCCAACCCAGGTTGGATCCCTGGGACCCTGTATGGTTCCCTGAGTCTGCTAGGAGGTGGCCCACAAACAAACCAAGAGTAAACAGAATGAAGCGTGAGCCCAGTGTTCTGATGCTGCCCTCAGTGGTGCTCTGGTTCAGCATCTGCCTTAACATACCCCAGAGTTGGCATTTGGGGTTTTCTGGGCCAGTTTCTCTCAGTCGTGCCCATGGGCTTACTAGCTGTATTTGCTTCAAGGCCCTCTGAATTTGCCAACTCCCTTCCTCTCCTTTTTTTCTCATTCTCTCTCTCTCCCTCATTGCCTCTCTTCTTCTTTGCATTCCTTTTATTTCTTTCATTCATTCTTTAGGTCAGTCTCTGAATTTTGGGTTTTGGGTTTATTTTTGGGGTTTTTTGTTTGTTTTGGGGGGACCATACCTGGCTGTGCTTAGGGCCATCTCTGTACTCAGGGTTCACTCCTGGTAGGACTCCAGGGGCCATCTGGGGTGGTGGGGATTGAACCCAGATTGACCGTGTCTGAGACACATATTCCACCCACTGTACTGTCTCTCTGGCCCCTCTGAAGTTATTTTTTTTTTAACTCTTAATGCTAACCATCCTATGTTGTGGATAGAATGAATGATCAATCCATTGTAGAGAACAAAAATATTAGAAAAGGCCACTCACGCTATTTCTCATGAAATACAACTATGAATGATCTTTTCTTACTTTGTCAAATCCACAGATTTAGGGACTAATCTCTACGGATTGATTCAGAAATTTTGTTGCTCGCATTTGCACCCAGAGGTACTGTTCCATGGGTTCTGCTGCGTTAGACAGACTCTGTTACCAAGGGCTGTGCAGGCTGCTGCTTCATTAACACATTCTTGTAGGCGCCTTTTTAAAATAGGTTCCCAGTGAGTGGTGTTGAGTGTGTGTATTGTGTGTGTGTGTGTGTGTGCTGGGGGGGTGGGGGGGACGGGACGGGTACAGGACTGAACTCGGAACCTCAAGCCTGCAAGGCATGTGCCCCACCCCTTTGAGCTCTCTCCTCCAATGAGAATTCAGTTAAGCACAGAGACCTGGGGCACATAATCAGGATGAATTTGAAGCGTTAGTCAGCGTTCACTACTACTGACCAGCTTTCATGTTTCTGGTAACGTCCATTCATGCTATAAAATTGTAAAGGATTGTGGAACAGATCTTCTTTTTTTGGGGTTGGGGGAGGGGCACACCCTGCGATGCTCAGACTCTAAACTCAGGAATCACTCCTGGTGGGCTCAGAGGGCCATATGGGATGCTGGGGATAGAACCCAGGTTGACCTAACAAGGCAGTTCCCTACTTGCTGTTTTTTCACTCTGGCCCAGGTTTTCTAACAAATTTTATATGGCCTTCTTAAATGTCTCGCTAAAATTCAAATGTGTTGAGCATTTTTTCTTATATTTTGTATGGTGTCCCTTTCCTAAAAGGGCGGATATGAAGTTTTTCTGTCACAATCTTCAGTTATTAGGGAACTCATTCTGGTACCCAGTGTGAGTACCTCTGTGTATGACAGCCATTTGGGAAAAAATTAAAAAGTATGTTCTGCAGCCAGGAAGATAACAAGTGGAAGAGCTCATTCCTGGCGTGTGCAGGCCCTGATTGATTCCTGGCCCCTCGTGCCCGCACTACACACTTGTCACCACCAGAAGTACATTCTAAGAACCAGAGAGGTAGCACAGGGGTTCGGGCCCTTGCCTTGCATGTAACTGGCCCCAGTTGGAATCCCGGCACAGGGTATGGTCCTCTGAGGAGAGTAAGCCCTGAGCACAGCCATCCGGATATGACCTAAATACCACCCCCTAATTCTATAATTTGGAGAAATCATTGATAAACTCTCTATTTTGTAGCTTTCAAGGACTACCTGCCTTCACTTCTTTAGAAAAAAAATTTTTTTAAATCCATGAACCAGACACAGTGCAGCAGTTGGGGTGCTTACCTTGCATGTGATCAACCCAGCACCTCATGTAGTCTCCTGAGTATGGCCAGGAGTGATCCCTGAGCACAAAGTAGAGCCCAGGAAGGTTTACTGCTTTGTGACCCTGGCCTGGTCACACCTAGTTCCTTCACTGGAACCCAGGACTCTTGCCTTTCCCACCTGCGCTTCTGCTCTTTACTTGCTCCGTTTTTCTTTTACTTTTCTCCTGGAAGATAGCTGATTCTTCCCGGCAGTCCACCCATATTAATAGTCTGCCTCCCCTAGGCAGTGTCCTGTATGCTCCTGCTGGTCAGTCTCAGAGTTGCCGGAGACAGAGACCCAAGAATTCAGTGTTTCTCTTCTCTGGATTGAATTGGCTCTTTCCCGGGACATTCCCGGGCTTGAGGGGGTATCTGAGAAGGGCCGCATGACACAGGAGGGGCTGAGCCCCCAGACAGTGTGTGTGTGTGTGTGTGTGTGTGTGTACCAACTTGCAGGAGAGCCACACGCTCGGGAGAATCGGATGATGATCTGCACTGTGGGAGCGGAGTCGGCGTCAAAGCCAAGCCCTGCACGCTGTGCCCAGGGCCCTCCGTACTGAAAGGAGGTGGTGAGTTGTAGCTTGTGACCTTGGCAAGACTTCCTTAACCCCAGTAATTTATCCCTTGTCTACCTTATCAGTATTGTTGTGAAGAGCTCCACGGTTGTAATTGCTGATTAGTTTCATTTATGTATAATTCAGCACTGCACTTACGGAGCATCCGGCATGCAGCCAGAAACTGGGAATATAAAAATGAATATACATGGCCTGGCCCCTCAGCCGCGCTCCCTGGCCAGCAAGAAGTCGGCCTGTGAAGCCGGGAGTGCCCTGCGGCCTGATAAATGCTGAGACAGAGATGCAAAGGGCAGAGGTCGCCCTGGGTGCAGGCTGGTGTCAAGGCAGCTGGGCAGAGTCAGTGGCTGCAGTTTGAGTCTCCAGGAAGAGCCCGGGATGGGCAGATGTGAGGAGCAGTGGACGCCCCAGAGAAGGAGCAGCTCGTGCAGGGACCCGGGGCAGGCAGGCAGATTCTCAGCTGCCTTCGTTTCCTTTCTTTCCTACCATGCCACACCTTTTGTGGTGGTGCTCTCCATGGGTCCCACGGTTTGGTCATGCTGGCATGCACGCTTGGTCACTGTGTGCCAGAGATGACATTTTCAGGAGTCCCAAGCGGCAGACAGATCCACTGGGTTTGCACCAGGTATGGGGATAGTTTCGGAGAGTGAACCCGTGACCTCACAGGGTC